GAGCCCTGCGGAACAAGAAAAAGAGGTCGAAATGGAGTCGTACCTTCTCATGGTGAGACCAGAACTCGACGCTGTCTTTTGCACCGATGTGGTCGGGGTGGCGCATGCAAGTGATGTTGGGGTGGAGTTTGTCAAGTGTGTTCTGCGCGCGCGATTCGTATCATCAATCATTGATCTCCACGATGAAAGTCTGGGGAACGACGAACCTTGGTATGTTTAGAACTCATCGCCATGGTTTGGGTAACCTAGAAACGGGTGAGATGAAAACGTGAATGTTTCGGTTTCGGATGCTGCGGACGCGGATGTACCTCTTTGTAGACGACAACATGGATTTTGACACCTTGCTCGGCCTTGCGCTTGAGAATTCTGTCGAGACGCCATTCTGGGTGGTACGCGGGCGGGCGGCGAAGATAGAGTTCGGGGGTAAGCCACCAGTCCTGGACAGGGTGAATGGAGGATATGAATGAGTCACACGACGCGTCAAATGGTTCTTTGTACGTACAAGGATGAAGATGGCTTCTTTGGCGTTCTCCAACATCTCAGACAGGGCCCACATGTAGTCGTGCCCATCGATATGCCTAAGCCATCCGTTAATCAGATATCTGGGTTTGATGGATAGACGTACCATTTGACATCGTTGCCGCCTCTCTCCCCCGCAAAGCTATCGAAACGATGGCCAGCCCTGATCTGTGCCCTCACTTCGTCTTGTGCTATTTCCTCGGGTTCATCATGGCGCCCTAGAACGACGACGGGTCGGTGTTCAAAATTTCATTCAAAAGAAACGGTTTCGAACGCACGATTTGGATTCCATCTGCCTGTCAACAAAAGTCAAGCTCGATTATTCTGGAAATCAATAAGAGAAACGAACCTATGACTTCGGCGCGAGCATGCTTGAGGCCTTTGCTGACCTTGGCCTCGATTCCTTTGAAAAAGGACATTATGGAACGGAACGGTGATGGTGATGGTGGTTTAAAGACAAGAGATCAAATCAAGGCAAACTGTGCCAAGCAATGACAGGGAGAAATTTGAGCGGCGCTTTTTATGTTCAAACCGAGACAACATGTTTCACGATTTCTCGGGATCATGCAATGACGCCATCGATCGAGACGCGTCGGACGCGTGCATATATAAAGCGGAGATCTGTTCCCATCCCTTCTTTTCCCATAACCACCACCATGGCCTCCCTCGAGGAGTTTCTCTACATGTCCGATGCGATTCTCCCCTTTCTCGAGCGTCCGCCCCCTCTCAGCCCCACCGAGCAGCACTCTTACCTCGTCGCCAGCCTCGAGTTCGCCTACACCGCCGTCGAACTCGTCGAAGCTCAGCTCGAGCGCAGTCTCCGTGCCGCACAGGATGGGCTAGCAGCTGCCATGACAGAAGCGGAGATTCTGGAGATGGAGAAGCTTCTCCTGGCAGAGCAGCAGAAGATGGACGATATGAAAGCGAGTTGCCGCATTCGTACCCAGCGTATAATGGAGTCTAAGCATCGTAAGAGTGTGCACTATCGTCGATTCTCTCATTTCCCTTCCGCTGATCTCCTTCCAGAGCCGTTCATGTCTAAAGCGAAAGACGAAAAAGTCAAGCCCCGAAGGAGGATGAGTCTCAGCTTGCTGGGTTGATGATGCACTGTTCTCTTTTTGTAAACGCGTCAGGGTCTTTCTCACTCGTTTTCTGGGTCTGTTGGAGTCTATGGACCATTGCCGCGGCGCTTATCCCTGATTATCAAACGCATAAAACCGCCGATTCAAATTGGCACCTTTGTATATGCACTCTGCCTGGACAGTCTGAGCCTTTGCTTGTATTGAAGATTCGTTTTTCGCATGTAGTCAAATGTAACGTTGCCTTAAGGTTGGCTCTGTTAAACATATCGCTCACAACGATGTACGCGCACGAATCAATTCGATTAGGAGAGGACATCATCAACATGATCAAGCGAACTAGTACCAGAACATTATTCGTGCAAAAAGTATTACATTACAATCAGCCAAAGAGTCCCCATTGTGCACAAAATCCCTCGACTATCTATTCCACATCCCTCTTCCACCCCCAGCCATACCCTCCACGACGATCATCGTAATCATCCCAACCATACCTACCCCCGCCCTTGTACCAACCATCACCCCTCCCCCTGCCACCCCTCCCCCAATCTTTACGATAGCCATACCTACGTCCCTTACCCCACCACTTGCGATGATTATACCCATCATCGTCGTCATCCCAGCCGTAACGATCATCGTCCCAATCGTTGCCTCCCCACCAACCACCGCGGCGGTATACGTAGTGGTGGGCCTTCCCGTGCGGGACGGACTGCACACGGTGGGGTGCGTACCATGCGGGCACGGGATTGGGCTTGGGGTGGTGTGGTTCGACGTGGTGGTGGTCGTTGTGCTCGGTTGAGCGCTGTGTGTGCGATGTAAGTTGGTATTCGGGTAAGTAAGCAGAAGGACTGACCTCGTCCAAGGACGTGGTAGAGACAGTCGGAGCAGCGAGGGAAGGGACGATGAGCGCCGCTTGGAAGAATACAGAACAAAGCACGATGGTGTTGAACTTTATAGTACGAGCGAGTGAATCAATACGAGATGAGTTGTCGTGAGTAGCAATACACGATTGTTGTTCAATCCGATAGGGTGAATTGTAATGCCGCGTCCCACCCCTCACCTGCCGTGACTTTTATACATTTTCCTTCAGTATAGGGGGCTACATAAGTATCTGGGAAGCGCCACAAGTTATTTTAGGAGAATATAGCATTTTTGGAGCGATGAGGCGCAGTTGACCCACTCAAAGCTAGAAAAAGGGGGGGAGGGGTCCGATGAGGTGCATCATAAGAAATCGAAAATCATATTCATATGTCTGTGGTGACCCACTTTCGTTTACAAACCTCCGCTTGTTCTCGATGCGGTTCGTATACGGAATGGAGAATGCAATGTGGACCATACAAGATGTAAAGTAAAATGAAACAGGTGCGGAACATCAGAAGAAACCAATGATGGGGATCGAACCCACAACCTTCGCCTTTCACCATTAGCAAGATGTGAAGTGATAGGAAAGCGATGCTCTATCCATTGAGCCACATTGGCTACAATAAATCATCTTCTACAAAACTATCATTTGAGGATTGTCAAGAGTGGGCCAAGTGGTAATATATACCCTACGACTGTCAGAAGAACAGTGAATATTCCTTTCACTGAAGACATTATGATAATACTCATAAAATAAGTGAGATGAAGTAAGAGTTAACGACACGAATAAAGGCAAATTACATGATAGTAAGAAAAAAGACTGATAAATCTACGAAAATAAGCAATAGACAAAATAGCAAAGTAAAGATCAAGAAACACAAGTCAAATTAAATGATATTAAAAAAAAGGCTGATAAATCTAAGAAAGTAAGAACAGAATAAACAAATGAGCAAAGCAGAATTTGTGCCAGAAAGTATGAACTGGGCGCCCCATTTAGTGGTGTCCGTGGCCGTGGTGGCCGTGGTGGCCGTGGTGGTGATGATGTCCATGATGTCCATGACCATGTCCATGACCACGATGACCGCGCTCCTCCAAATCCCTCTTCCAACCCCAACCATAATCATCATCATCCCAATCATTCCCCCAATAATTATCATCGTCCCAATCATTACCGCCCCACCAATTACCTCCGCCATTCCCACCGTTCCCACCGTTCCCGCCATTCCCGCCATTTCCACCGTTGCCTCCCCAGCTTCCACTGCCGCCATTCCCACCATTACCTCCGTTGCCGCCGTTACCACCGTTCCCGCCGCCACGGCGGTAGTGCCAGCGGTAGCGCCCCGGACGACCGTGGCCTCTCCAGGAACCCCTCCAAAAAGGGCGGTAAGGTTTATAGTGGTGGTGTCCACCCCAGTGACCAGGCCTGTGGTAGGGATTAAAACCACGCTAAGAATAGTAGGTTAATTTGTAATGAAGGATTTGAACAATGACAGCGGACTAACTTCCTCTAAGGAGTTGACCTCGGCAACGGGAGCTGCGAAAGACGGAGCGATCAACGCCATTTGAGCGAGGATAGCGGTAAATGCGAGGGTAGAGAATTTCATAGTGATTCAAGGGCAATAGGCACTTGCAAGAGCGTGTGTGGAAGGGCTGTTCAATCCGATGTGGGTGGATTGGGATGCTAAAGTCCAATGCTCAAGACCGAGGGTTTTTATGCCTTTCCATCGATAAGGGGCTACCAACGTATTTGGAAAGCGCCACAGTATTTCATAGAGTGTGGTGGCACTGACACAGCTCTTTCGACGACAAGGATGTGCGATCGATCCACTTGAGGATGGAAGAGGAGGTCAGTAATACGCGTGCGTCATCGTAAAAAAAATAATTGAGAATCAAATGTATGTTTATGACCCCACATTTTTTCGCGAGCAGCCTCCTCTAAACATTAGGATTGGTCCGTGGGCAGTGTGACGATCGGAGGGGCTGCTGATTGAAAATTTTGGAGATACTCCTATTTCGGAGCAAAGAAAACCTTGAAAGGAGCCTAGCTTGATCAGCAGGTCGTGTACAGCGTATAAGCTCGAGTTAGTCATACTTAAAGAACATGTGTTTGAGCGAGAGAAAATTTTGAAGTTTATGACGCAACAATTCTGCCGGGCGACTTTGTCGTTGATGAGACGAACCGAGTGTTGTATTGCGATGAGTCATTGTGTAATTCTTTCCATGGTCAGACGTCTTCCTATTCAGCAGGCAAGGCGAGGCAAAATTGTTTCGCGTCCTTGGTGTGGAGCCAGATTACATAATTTTGAACGCTCTGCAAAGAGGATGAACGCCACGTAGGGTTCCTTGGTTGTCTTCTATAATTCAACAAAATTCACTGTATTAGCGTTATATAGTAGTATTACTTTCACAAGTACCGTTACCGGGGAGAGTATTACGTTGACAACACTCGACTATAGTCTCCTGGCCAGCTTTGGCAAGGTAGTGGTGTCGACGTCAAAAAGATCTCCATGATCGCTCAAGCATGTATGTTTTCATTCGTGATTCCCTCTAGCCGACTTGAACGACTGACCTCGTCATTGAAGGAAATGAACTCTAGGATACTAGTGACGCGCTCTACCACTGAGCTAAGAGGGATACAGTATATTTTCCAAAAGAGCTACCTAACGAGAAGACTTTTCGACAACCTGAACGACTCACCTTGGCCTAGTCATAAACAGGTTGTTCCAAACTGGCCAATGTAAAGTATTTTTGTCATAAATCTACTATCTGTGTGATATTCCGCATATCACTATATGACGATCTTGTTCATTCTGCTCTCCACACTTCAAGAACTACGCTATTGCGGAATTGCTCTGCCAGTGAATTCAATTTCCTGTTGTCGGCAGGTTGTCGGTGAGATTGAGGGAACGAAGGAGAGTGACGATCATCCACGTGTGGATTCTTCATACTGCTGTTGACATCTGTAGACTCTGGCTAAGGTGTGGCATTGGATTTTGGTCCGGCCTTTCCAAGCTTGACAAGCCACTTCAACTTAACGAGCACTTTGAACTGAAAATGACTTCCCAGGGTCACTCTGACAAAAAGCCGAAGTTTTTGACAGGAAAGACTTTCACGGCTAGCAGACTGTAAGTACACCCAGCCTGATCAGAGAACTTGTATCTAGGTCTTTGAGACTAAAACATGGATTTATTGTGATTAGACTTCTAAACTTCAACGCTAAGCGAGGCCTTCTATCAGACATATTCGGAATCGGAAAGCGCTTTCCATGATTCGCAAAATACCACGCCTGACTCATCGCCTCGTACTTCTCGGCATCGTCCCATTTCTCCAGGCGCATGGCCATCAACGCGACTCTCAGAAGACGAGAAAAGTATACACGGAGCGACTCCAGCTTAGCGTCCTCGATTACTTTGATCCATCTAAAGCTATCACGCATCAGATCTGTAAGTTACCCGCATTCAACTTTTCAATGGGCATTTTGACACCGACGCGGCCTGATTCTGTGGAATATTTGTAAGGTCATCGATTTCAGTTAGGTTACTACAACAGTTGAGTACGTAGTTCAACAAAATTACCAACTGCGGCAGCGAAATCCAAGCCCTCGATTGCTGACGTCAAATCCTTCTCTTTGTCTGAAAGATCAGTCAGTTTCCCCGATTCTGAGATGCTCGTGTTAGATATCCACCCAGTTCGGAAGTAGTACCACCACAGATCACTGATGCTGGATTTTTCGCTTTCTTCGAGTTCAGGAATCCTATCTTCATGGCTGGACGGCAGGCAAAACAAAACAAAAGCTGTTGGGAAATCGTGAACGGCTGAACAAATAGCCTATTGGTGGCTTCTTTTCATATGGCCCTTTGAATCCGACTGCGGGTGGATCCACAAAGGAAGCTTGATGGGTCTTTGTAAGTTTTTCGAATTCCAGGTCACAGGGTGGAATTAATCCACCTCAGAGGACGCTTGAAGCTGGAAATCTGTTCCATCCGACAGACGCATAGAACGTAGATTTAGAGGTATAAAATGTTGTGGATCTTGAACGAACTTCAACAAACAGAAGGTCCCAATGGTCAATACTTACTACTAGCATAGAGAACTGGAGACGTCCTTGACTTTCTTGAGCTATGTACATATCTATATATCAAAGATTCAAAATCATGAGGGAACCCACAATTATCTTGCTTGATAGAAACAAACGAATTCGGATCGGAACGATAGATAGGCGCACTATACCGGCAAACGATGACGAGAAAGGCATCAAGTGAATATGTATCCGTATTGAAAGTCGTCAAGCACATTGAAAGACGTTAAATGCATAATTGTCTCCAGGATTTCTCCAGCGAAGGTCCATAGTAAGGGGTTAGCAAAAACGTTTATCCTTACGTTGAAAACGGACCCGCATCGTCGAAGTTTAAACGTCTACACCAGCACCAGAAGCATACCAGCGACAACAGCAACTCCTACGCCCATGATCCCGTTCCACGCAATAAGGTTTGAGGCACCGTTAGGAGGCAAAGAATCCGCAGAACTGCTCGTAGAGACCGGAGAGTTGGCCAAAGTGCTCATTGCAGTGACCGTAACCTGAGAAATGCGCGACAACGAAGTCGGAGCCGGTATCGTGGGCGTCAAAGTGGGTAGTCCCGATGTTGACAAAGGCTGAGTGTTGGTGCTCAAAGGTGCGCTCAAAGGTGTGCTCAAAGAAGAAAAAGTGACGCTGGAGGTCGCCCCCGGGGCCGCAGAAGAGCCGGTGGCTCCAGGAGGAATGGAGAGAGTGAGAGAAGGCAGATTGATTCCTTGACACGTGCCGCTGAAAGCTGTGCAAACTAGGCTCGAGGAAACCCGTAACAACTGAAAATTAGTTACATACCGTCGAGGACATCTTGCGCTTCCTTAATGACTCCCGCACTCGGAGCTATCCCAACAATGCAGTCCAGGCAGCTCTCAAGCATTTGTGCGTTGGAAGCGGTACAGAGGCAAGTTGGGGTGGTGCAACTCTACGATCCAAAGATCAGGGTTGTTCGAATGGTGGTTTGCAAGCGAATGTACCTGGAAAGCTGGCAAGGTGCAACTGCTTTGACACTATCAACAGTCAGCACGACTCTACTTTAGCACTTACATGAGTACGTACTTGGGGAGGTATATCCGGGGGACCTGACTGGCCAGTCAGAAGGTGGCCCAACACATTCCTCGACCTCAGTACTGAGCCCCCTGACACTAGGAAGACGACATCAGTTCAAAGCCCACTTTTGATGTTACACCAACTTACCTTGAGGTACCAACACGCCCGAGAGAAGCAGGACAGCTTTAGAAAGTCGAGCGTACATCATCGATGATGGTTGTCAAAAGGATGCGGTGAAAGACGGACATCTGACAAACGCTTGCCATGAGAAATTGACGGTTGTCCGTGTGATTGGAGCCAGACAAGGCACAACATAAGACGGGCCGCGTTTGATCCGGTACAATCTCCCATCATAATTGAATGATCGCGGATCCTTCATGGGCGACAACCATGGTGAAGGGAGAAACACAAGTGAGATATCGATGTTCATATCTTCTGGATTCAAAAACTTTATGTCAAATGAATATTAAGTATTATTCTGGAGCTACTAGCATTATTCTTGTGCTTACTAATGTAAAGTAAAGTTTGGGTAAAGTGATATATTTGAATGACCGGACGTATCTTGACGTATCTTGAATATCATTGGCCCGTTTACGAGCACGGGTCTCGAGAGTCACGCTTCACTCAGAAGAAGACTACCAACACAGCCGCTACAGCCGCAGCCGCGCCAGCAGTCTCTCTCCCTCGCGTTGAAGACCCACTATTCTTGTTTCCACCGAGACCGCTTTGCCCTCCACTACTAGCTGATTGTGTTTGTGAAGAATCAGCAGTGACGATCTGCTGGTTGGCAGCAGCACCGGACGCCTGTGTCGGGATGTTCCCCGCATCAGTAGCTGAGGTGAGTGTTGGGCGGTTGACAGAAGTAAATGTATTTCCAGCAAGCGTGGATGTTATCCCAGAGACAGCTCCACTTAGCGTAGTGGCGGGGAGAGAGACGCCAGCCAAGTTACAAGCTTCGACGTATTCTAAGCATACATTTATGAAGGTTAGGTTGCGATCGTAGCTGCGGAAAAGAGAAAGAGGGGGGGCTGACCATCGAGATAAGCTTGAATAGATTGGATGGATGCTGCAGGTGGAGTGATTCCGTTGCTATAAAGGACGCAGTTGAGACAGTCAACGCCATTGTCTTCGTCTGTCAAACTGCATCCGCAGGTGGGCTTAGTTGACGTCGCGCAGGTCTAAAACTGACGGTGAGTCAAGCATACATCAAAAAGGACGACTAACTGACATTGAGTGATGAAACAAGACCGGCGCATCGGCTGGTGCATACGGCTGGAATTTCGTTCGGGTCGAAAGTCGACTGACGCGTTAAAAGTTGGTGGATACTACGATGAGCGATTGTCGTGGCTGAAACTGAGGCGCAACGCTTATAAGCTGGCTTCAAACATAATGACGGAAGTGCGTGTACCGTACCATGCGAAGTGAATAACGTCATAGAAATTAGGAAAATGGAAACGGGCAACATCGTGCAGTTAAGAAAAGGCAGAAAGTGATGAGAAGTCGTCGTCAACGACTCTTCTGCATTTTATATGGAGGGTCCGATAGCCCTCCTAGCAATGACTCGGACATGCCGTACCTGACGCCCAGATGCGATGCATAAAGCCGTGTTCGCATCCGTCAACGACGCTCCGAAACTCGAGGAGCTTAGCGATCGAGGTAGATAGGTATGAGCTTCATATGGGAAACGTCATGCTGACTTACAGGCGGGGCAGGCACAGCAACTGTCGCCGATTTCTTATTTCCGCCTCATCGCATACTCTCTCAGGAAGAAGAAAAGAAAGGCATAAATGCACACTGCACGGGGGTTTTACGGTGATTTAATAACAGCAATCGGTGTAACGTGCCCGTCTTTCCTATGGAGAATGGGAAATCAGAATTACCAAGTACGATGCTTGAAGATGGTCAGCTGATCGCGAGGAACCAGGCCCCGTTGGGTCAAAAGTGGGTTCTCGATCAATGATCCATTACAAGCTTTGTTCTCAGACTTCGGCCGGCAGGATGCAGGTAGACCTGAAAATTGAGACCAAAAATCCTTTAGAAGTGAAAACTGAGGATATACCTGATGAACAGCGGTACTGATGAATGCGAGTCCAAATGCCAGTGACTCACGATAGAATGGGCTTGAAACAGGCATCAGTTAATGGCCAAAGGTGGCATTTTGCAGGCAATGACCATGTGCATGCATATCATCAGATATCATTACCCAGACAACAGGAAGCCAACAAGCTGTCAACAGATCCTGCTCGAACAGACGTGAATTTGTAAGTACCGGGTCGATCGCAAAAGTCTGACCAATCGAAGAATGGGCATTCAATAGCAACAAATTGAGCATACCCAGGTTGAATAGATTGAAAGAAAAATACGGGAATGAAACGATCACGAAACCTAAGATATATTCACGTCCCAACTCATAACTGAGCGACAGTTGAGGCTATCACAAGCATGACAAGCATCAAGGATGATGTACAATGAAGCGCCGTGCCGCCATTGCCTTGGGTCGCCGGGGTTGATGAGACTG